GGAGCAGCTCCCACTTGCTGTGGCCTCCTGCTTGAGACTAGATTTTGCTTTATTTTCCTTGCCAGGCACTCGCTGTCCTTTCCCTCACATTGCTCAGCAGCACAGAAATATTGGCATTTCATCTTCTCTTTTAAAAAAAGTCTCTGGGAAAACATGGTGGAAGGGTGTCTTTTTTTTTTTTTTGCTTATTTTTTTTTCTGAAAGGTGAGAGAAAATGAATTGCAGTCAAAGAAAAGGGAGCAGGTGACAAATGAGAAGAAGAGGACTTGAATTTCAAGATCAGATCCATCAAACCCCAACACCAGGTGCATCAGAGGCCAGCCTGCTGTGATGAACTGGGCTAATTGGAGATGCTAGTGCTGGGGTGACTGGGATGGGAAGGCAGGGCTGCCAGCTAGGCAGCCAACATCAGGAGTGTGGTGGGACAAGCAGTTGGGACGTGGTTGTCCCATCTTCCCTTTCAAGGAAGGGGAGCCAAGGAAATCTCATGGCAAAATCTCTTTGGAGCAAAAGCATGGCGGTTGCCTTTATGTAAGCAGTCTCCTTATTGCAAGGTGTGGCTACTAAAATGATTTTTGTGCAATTAAATAAGTGTTTTTTGTGTAATTAAATTTGTCATATAGCAAGCTGTTCCAGCCTGTGACCTCAGTTGAGGACCACAGGCACCGCTCTTGGCACAAGGACTGTCCCCTTGCTGCTGCCATGCCCAGTGCCTCTGATCCCTTTGCTGCTGTGATGCGGAAATTTCTGGCTTTTTATTCTGCAAAACCCCCTCTCCTTTAAATGGAGCACCTGTGGGGCTGGCAGGCTCCAGCCCATGTTTGGGAGTGGTGGCAGAAGTTGTGTGGTGACCGTGCCCACAGAGAAGATCCAGAGCTCGGCAGGGATGAGAAACGACGAGCCAAGGAGAAACTGGGTTTGAAAACCAGGGATTAAAATGTTTTTAATATTAAATCATAGCTGATGCCTGAGATCTTCAGCCCAAAAACCAGCGCTGTTGGTGGAGAGTTTCCTATTAACTCCACTTGGGTACAGATCAGACCTTTTTAAGAGAACATCGTATTAAGTAACTAATTAGAAATGTGCCCCTTCTGTTGGATGGCAGTGCCCTCCATCCCTCCCCACCCCATTCCTGGGCAGACTGTGTCAGCATCTTGCTCTGGAAACGTCTTCATCCTCTGACTTTTCCCCCGGTGCTTCCAAAACCCTTCAGGAGTTCTGGGATCCTCCTGGAGGATTTCCTTGGGTTTTTGTTTTCTTTTTCTTCTCCTTTCTCATCCCCCTCTTGAAATCAAAAGCAGTCAGGGGGACTTGGGAAGGCCACATCCCCTCTCCCTACTTTCCTCCCTGGCAAAATGGAAGGGCAAGAAAAATATATGGGTTTACAGGCACAAGCAAGATGCTGAGACAGCAGTTCCTATATTGAGGGGTAAAAGTACACCCCATAAGGTAGCCAAGCCTAAAAAAATAATAAAATCCTAGTAGGAACAGAACAAGAGGCAGCCACAATAAAAAAAGCTCCCGAGGTCAATCAAAGTTCAAGACTTGCGGAAGGAAGAAAATCTGTGTATGTGTGAGAAAGAAGGAGAAGTAGCCGTGATTGAGAGAAAGGAGGCAAAAGGAGACAAGATAAATTGTGATTATCTGGTGGAATCAAGACACTTAACTGCTCTGTCTGATTCTCGAGGGGAAACAAATGGAGCCTATAACTTTGCGCGGCAAAAGGATAATTTGTCCCTGTTTCCTCAGCACTCACCGGAGCCAGGTCAGCTCTTTGGCTTGTGGTGGCTCAGGCATGACCCCAGGGCACCTGCTTTTCCTTTGCAAGTGCCCTGAGAGGGCTTTCTGGCAGATGTGGAGCTCCCTCGGCTCTGCACAAGCAGGACCTTTTGCTTTTTGATGATCTGCTGGCGATACAGGCAACTTCGTGCGATCCTTTGGCAATTCCATTGTTGCTTCTGTGAGATGGAGTATGGAGTCCAGCTGCAGAGCTGGGTTGGGTGCTTGCCTTGGTCTGAGGTCACCTATGGATGGGAAAAACAGCAGCTTCCCTGCAATCACCCTGGAAAAGAAGATTTCTTGTGGTGCATCGAGTGGTGACCATGGTAGAGATGCTCCAGCTGTGTGTTCACCTTGTGCACTCCAGTTAGCCTGCTCCTCCTCCCTTGGTGCAGCAAATTGAGAGGATGGAGGGGGAAAATTAGGATTAAATTAACTGATGCTAAAGAAAACAGTGGAAGGTTGCTCATGCAAACTTCTGTCATGGCAGTTAAAGTGGTGGAGGAGCCCCGGTGTGCTCCATTGGGGTCTTCTCTTGCTGTGTCGTGGTTTTGCACCACATGCCTAAAGTTAGTGTGTTCCCCTGGGGGAAAGCCTGCAAAAACCAGAACAACAAATAGCAAAGTGATTGGGAAGTCTCATTTCTTATTTCAGGGATCTGTTTCTCATTATCTTCTGTTAAATTTGTTATTTTGAGCTGTGTTTTATACCTCGTGGTTTTTTTTTTTTTTTCTTTTTTCCTGCTCTGAGTTTGGAGGTGCTTTTAAATTTGAATGGTGAAACATGGGTGGGAGGATGTGCTCTGCCTAGAAATGCCGTATTCTCCAGGTTATTCTGAATTTAGGAACTAAATTCCCTAACAGTGGGAGGTAGCTGTAGCGCAGAGATACAGAGAAGAGTTAAATGTTTATTTGCTGGCTGTTTTTTTAAAATTTTCTTTGTGGAAGCACAGAAACCATGAATGTGACTATGATTAGAACTGGCTCGGGACACAATTTTCCTATTCAGCAAGATTTTTAAGATCGTTTCCCTTCCACTGAGATACAACCAAGACCTTTTGGAATCTGAAGTAATTGCAGGTAGCTTGTTGATCTAGGGTTTTTGAAGGAGATGTTAAGGGGGAAAGACTTGACGTTTGAGAAATTGTAGGGTCAATTTGTATTTGAAGTGATGGGAATATTGCAGGTGGTTTGGATAAAGACTCTTACTTTTTGGCGTTTGTCCAAAATGTCTTTGATTGTGACCTGTCACTCGCTTGCACCTGAATTGGTGGAAGCAACTTTTTTTTTCTTTTTCCAGTGGTTAATTGTAGGTGCTCTTTTTAAAAACTGCTGTTCCTTCTCCAGATAGAAATTTGTCTGGGTTTGGGCACTGAGTCTTGCTGTGCTTTCATGTTCTGCAATCATCATCTCCAAGTGTTGCATTTCATCCTCTTCATGGATGTGCTTGAGATGGCCTGAGTCATCTCACTCCTCTTTGTCAGAAACGAAGCAGTTCAAGCTTTTAAAGCCCTTGTTAAGTGTAAAGCATTTTTGCTAGCCCTTGCATGTTTGTGGCTTCCTCTTGCATCCAGTCCTGAAGATGATGTGACCAGCTGGGCAGCTTGCAGAATTGCAGCCTTGGCAGTACTGACTGTACAGCCCTAAAGTCGCTCTTCCAAGTGCCCCAAGAGCACCACAACTGCCAACCAGGGCACGGAAAGAGCTTTTTGCGTGCTTCGACCCCTAGGCTTGCCAGAACAGCTGGGTTTGGGATGCTCTCCTCTACAGCTGTAGTCCACCAGCCTTTTTCCGAGGGCGTTTGGAGCTGGATTTTTACCAAACAAGCCCGAATTACGAAGTGCTTGTTCCTTCCTGTTATTTGCCACGCTGTCACCCGAGTTGGTACCAACAGCAATTTTATGTTGTGCTAGGGTTTCCTCCGACTGTGGTTGGTCGCCTTGGGACCTGCCAGGCAGCTGAGTCCTCGCTTGAGTGCGCTTCATCCGTGTCGTACAGCACTAAAATTTCAATCAGAAAGTCACACAGTGCTAAGTCAAATGTCTTCATACAAGTCTATTATTTCTTCGCAGTTACCTTTATCTGCCAAAACTGTAATCTCATCAAAGAATAAAATTGGGTTTGTTTGACAAGCCCTATTTTCCATAAAATCACGTTGACTGGCCTTAATTATGTTCCTATCATTTAATTGTTTATTAATGGAATATCGTATCAGACTTTTCCATTATTTCCACTGTGATTGATGTCAGGCCAACTGGTCGGTAATTGTCAGGGTCGCTCTGCTGTGTTCGCCCTCCGGTCTGCCAGAACATCCCTCCTCTTCGCAGATGGATGAAATTTTGGCATCTGCTCTCCTCAGCCAGATGATTTGGGGTCATGGAGCACTTGTGTACTGCCAAGGAAGGCTCACACAGAGGATGTCCTCCACTGTCCTTGAGGACAGGTGGCCAAGGCGGGGATCTCCCATCCTTATCTCCACCCAACAGCTTTATTCCTTCTATTATTAGTCCCGCCCCGCTGAGGAAGGGACCAAGAGCGGCCAAGTGAGTGACCAAGAACCAGGCATAGTTTACCTGCCACAACAGGCTTTGAATGTGGTCGAGGTGTCATAGAGAGGCCCAAAATATTTCAAGGATGTTCTTATGGGGCTGAAATGAAGCTCCAAGGGTGGTGGCCCTCCCATGCTTGTCATCCTGAAGCCATCCTGCTCTGGCAGCTGTTTGGAGATCGAACATGTGGTCTCCATTCAGCAACTTCAGAGGGTCTGGGTTGCTTCTCAGGCACTGTTAGGAAGAGATATGTATGACCACATGCCCATGAGGGATGGCTGAGCAAAGCCTTTGGGGTATTCAGGATGCGGTAGAAGTTGGTTTCAAACATGATTTGGCAGAAGGTAGTGACGGTGGTGCCTGGCGGCAGGAGAGCTTGAGAGAGGCTGATAGGTGCTTACCCAGAAGAAACTTGGGTTCTAGTGCCTCCGTGCTTCTGCTGAACTAGGGTGACTTTCTCTGTTGATAAGGGTAAAGGAGGAGAGGAGCCGTGATTTGGTTTATGTGTGCTAGAGAGAACAGTAAGACCGTGCACAGCTTGACTCCCCCAAACAGTTTGGGGATGGCTTAAGAAGGCAGAAGACCTCCCTTCCCTGACAAGTTGAATCTCTTTGGGATATCTTCCTCTCTGTCCCGTTTTGCTCATGATTTCTTCCCTCTGCATCTCTCTCAGGTTCCTCAGTGACTCAGCTTCTGGCCCGGGATCTGGACAACGATCCGTTGGTCTTCGGTGTGGTCGGGGAGGAGGCCAGTCGGTTCTTCGCCGTGGAGAGCGTGACCGGTGTTGTCTGGCTCCGGCAGCCCTTGGACAGAGAGGTAATGCTGCTTGCTGCTGAGAGCATCTTCTGCTGAGGGAATAGGGAAAACCAGCCATTCCCACTGGCTCAGCAAGGACATGGGGAAAAAGCAGGGTACTCTGGTTCCACCTAGCTCGTTGGTTTTCCTAGATCCCAGAATAGCATCTGTGAGTCTGGCTGTAAAGAAAACTAACAAAAGGAAATGATCTACCAAAAAGACAGGATGATCATACATTCAGGCAAATCTACAGGCTTCCTATTTAAACCTGTATTCCAATTAAATCCTTTACTATTTTGAACAGCGTGTGAAGAGATGTGAGGTATCCCTGCTTATTCAATTTCATCATGACTTTTCGTGGATTCAGGCTGCTGGATGCTAAATTGAGCAAGTTTCTTGACTTGAAGATGTCTCACACCCCTGTTTTCCATGATAGTTTTGGTGGGCAGAGGTGGTATCCCATCCAGGTTGGGAGCAAACCCAGTTTCACAGCATTAAGAGTGAGGCTTTGGAGAAAGAAAGCCTTCTTCTTCTCCCCTCCACCTCCCCGTGCCAGCAGCTGCTATCGTGAGTCATAAATCTTCCCTTATTCAAATGCTTACCGCTTCCCAGTGCCATGATACCAGCCTTAAGCAGAGGAGGGTCATTGATAGGCTTCTCTTTTAAAACAGTTTTTAAAACAAAAGCAGACTCCGAGTCTAAAAAAAAAAAAAAAAGATATGTGCCAAAACAAAGGGTGGAGAGAGAAATTAGTATGTGGCAGCTTTCTCTTGATTGTTTTATCGAGTTTTTCAGTAAATACTTTACAGGTTGTTTCTCATCTCCTGTTTTTCCTTTCTTCTCTATTGCTTTGTCCCTTGCGTTGGTGATGATGAGTTTTTTTATGAGAGATGCAGATGGCACAGGGTGGGATGTCGCAAGGAGCAAAGGCTGTCCTTGCCATCAGCATTTCATCTCTTCCTTCTGCATGCAAGTACAGCCCCAAGCCAGGAGCTGGAAAAGGCTTTCGCAGCTCAAATTCCCTGAGCTATTTGGCTGGGGTGAGGGGGGAGACAGGAGGGGTGCATGCTCTGCTGAGCTGTTCCCCAAACCCTTCTCTGAAATGAGCTGCTACCCTGGTTGCAAGCAGAGCTCTCCTTCTCTGGGCACCAGTGGCTGCTGCCAATATTATTAGGAATAAATCAACCAAATCTGCAGCACGCAGAGCCATTTCAAGCTCACTCGCCAGCGTTTCCTGCACGATGCTTTGGAAACATCAGCTTGTTGTGCTGTAGCAGCCCAGGCAGGGCAGGAGCACTGGGGATGGGAAGAAACAGATCGCTGGGACTAAGGGAACCAAAGCACCGCATGGAGCCCAGGTAACAGGTAGGTGTGGTGGCCCAAGTCCTGCTGTCCATCCCCACACAATTCCTTAGTAAAAGGTGAGCTGGTGGAAAAGAAAGGTCAGGAGGAGGTCTGTCTGCACTACCAATATCTCCCTGCCCTGACACCAAAACCGTCCCTTTTTCCCTACTTGTCCCTCACACCAGCACCAGTGACTTTAATTTATTACTGTTTAAGATCAAACCATTAATTTAGTCAAAGCAGTAGGGGGCAGAGAGGACTGCATGGGCATTTTGTTGACTGGGATTATGGGATTTCAGCGAGCTCTTACTACAGACCTGGAGCTTATCCCATCATTTCCAGCTCTGCAATATCCCGAGAACCAAGTTGAGTGAAAGCAGCAGCATGATTTAAATGTCCTCAGTGAGACCCTATTGTGCTGTCATCTTGAACAAAAGCTAATTATGAAGTCCTTTGGGCTTTCTTCTCCTGACCCAGGGCAGAGCCTCCTCCTGACCCAAGGCAGAGCCTCTGAAATACACCAGAGCCCTGCTGGCATTCATGTTTTTTTTTTTTTCCTCAGTGTTTCATACTCAATGTAGGTAATTGCACTCCAGTGCCTCTTCTCTTCTTAAAGGTCCTGAAAGCATTTTGCATGTAATAATATTGGCTTGAAGTCCCAAGCCTGCCATCTGCAGATAAACACTTGCAGTATCTTTAATTATATGTGTTTTTTCCTTCCCTTTCAGACGAAGTCGGAATTCACGGTTGAGTTTTCTGTCAGTGACAGCCAAGGGGTAAGTGCTACTTCTAGTTTTGTGGTCTGTGGCATGGGCAGAGGGGAGCGGGGAGGATAAGCATGGCTCACCGAGGGACCTTCTGCTTCTGGGGAGTAGGGCCAACCCTGACCGTCACTTGCCAAAAGGCCCTGGTCAGAAAACACGGCCACAAAGCTGGCTTTTGGTTCCATAAATCCACACCTGAATCTGACGCCCATTCCTCATGACCACAGGTGATCAAAGGGACAGTTAACATCCAAGTAGGAGACGTGAACGACAACGCCCCGCGGTTCCACAACCAGCCCTACAGCGTCCGCATCCCCGAGGTAAGCGACTGTCCCGACCTGCTCCCTGCCCTGGCTTCTGGCTCGGGTGCTGGGGGAAGAGAAGGTTTGGAGCTCGGAGTCTTTGCAGCCTTGCTGACGTCTTTCCTGTGACACATGTGAAGTTTGAAAAATAGCCGTAAATGGGAACCCGTTCCTTCTTCTCTTCCTTTGAGTCAGGGGGGAAGCGCAGCTCTTGTCACAGAGGTGACCTGAGGGCAGGAATAAATATTTCTCCAAATATTGGCAGAGTCCTGCCCAAAGGCTTCTGCCCTTGGTGGTGGTTTCCTTTTACAGCTGTGTAGCAGGATCCATGATGTCCTTGGAATAAAGCAGGTAGGAGAGGGACCACAGGAGGTCATCTGGCCCAAGCTCCTGCTAAAGCAGAGAGAACCTTCATGTTCGATCGGGTTGCTCAGGGCTTTACCCAGCCGAGTGTTGACTATCTCCAAGGATAGAGTTTCCACAACTTTCTGCCGCTCTTTCGCTGTGCTGATCGTTGCAAAGGAGGTGACACCATCAAGGAGAACCCAGCTTGATGTGAATTTGGACCTTAAAGATGTGGAGCTGAATGGTGGTTGCTGGTGCTAGGAGGACAAGGTCAGTGCATTCAATTTGAAAGAGAGGATTAGTAGGAGAGGAAACCTCTCTCTCTTGTGCCAAGGCAGAGGCTGTTTTCCCCCGAGTGCGCCTTGGGGTGTGGATGGGGGTCAAGGGTGCCTGTGTGTGTGTGTGTGTGAAATCAAGCAGTCCTTGGTAGTTGAGAGGTCTGAACGATCGTGTTACAAGGGTTTGTTTAATATGCTGGCTGCCGATGCCCTGCCGTGCTGGGCTTTGATCCTTCCCTGCCTCTCCGCTGCGAGGATGAGGTTTCTTCATTAAGTCACTTGTGATGTATGAGCCGGGAGTTTTAGTCTCATCTTTGCGCCAAGTCATCTGAAACCTCCCTTTGCGAATGACACTGGGTCAGAGTCATTTCTTCTCCTCTTTAAAGCACAAGCGGTGCAGAAATGACTTGGCAAAACCTGCACGAGCTGCTCCTCGCTCTCGCCCTCCCGCTCGGACCTCTGGAAGCTGGTGGGCGGCTGCCTTGCCTTGCTGCCACTGCTCCCGGGGACAGTCTGTCTGCAGGGGTCTGCAAAGCAAAAGAGATGTCGGGAGGAACTGGACAGAGTCTCATCTCCCCCACCCTCAGGTTTACCTCCCATTTTGCTGTTTGTGGCACATGGCACTGGGGATTTCCTTCTCCATGCGGAGAGAGAGATGGGAAGTGGATTTCTGTGTCTCCCCTGGGAAGCGACGCTGTGTTCATATACCTGGAGCCGCCGTGCCCTATCTCCTCTTGCTCGTCGCTTCTTCCCTAAGAGCTGATGTTGCAAATCACAGAACAGTTTGGGTTGGAAAGGAACTTAAAGTTATCATCCAACCCCTCTGCCATCAGCAGGGACATCCCCCACCAGACCAGGTTGCTCAAAACCCCATCCGACCCCGACGCTCTCAGGGAGGGGACTGCCACAGCTTCTCTGGGCAACTTGTGCCAGTGCCTCACCACCCTCACAGTAAAGAATTTCTTCCCAATAATCTTAAGCCTTCCATGTTTCCAATCTTGACTCGCATTGAGCCTGGGAAGGGAAGGCAAAGGTCCAGCTCTGATTTGGAAAATTAAGATTGGCTGAGGAAAGGGGACTGTGGGAAGTTACTCTGCAGATATTGGCATGGCTCTCAAGGAGGAGATAACTGCTTGCTTTTGAGACCTTTGTTGGGCCACAGGTTTTCCCTGTTGTTTCATCTACAAGTCCTCAAAGCTGTGCTATAGAGATGGGCCTTCAGAAGCTGGAGGTCCCAGAGCCAGAGCATGCCTGAGGTGCAGCTGAGGCTGGGGAACCAGTCATGGTAGAGAATGACAGTGTCCCCAGGTCAACCCCATGCTCCAGACAGATCAGTCCAGCAAGGATGTGAGTGGCAGAGTCTGAATTAAAGACCACCCAGTCCAAGCCGAAGGATCTATAGCTAATGAATGGAGAGGGGATGGAGAGGAGGCTAAGCAGAAGTGCTAGTGCAGCTTTGCATGGACTGTCTCTGTGTGGAATTGGCAGCTAATGAGGGTTTTTCTCTTTTTAATTTTGAGATAAATGGATGTATCGATTTGCAGTTGTCCTAGCTAATGGAGCAGCAACAGAAAGGCTATTTAAACCTCACTGCTATTGTGTGGCACTAGGAAAGTCAAAGGAAGAGTGTGCATAAATAAATGGAACATGAAGTAAACTGACCTTTAAAAAACAATGCTGCCTCTAAATACCCATCCTGGCGTTTTACGCAGTCGGCTTGATCTGAGAATGGGAATTTGTTTGGACATGGGCCGCAGAAGTTGACTCCTCGGTAGCATGGGAGGGACGCAGAGGATGCCCAGTTTAAACTGGGGGCTCCTCCAGCATCTCTGAATAGCCAGACCGGGTATTGCTCATGTGTCGGGCTGACGCCACCAGTCCTCTGTGTCTCAATCGCATCTACAGCTCCTGCCTGGAATATCTGAGTGAGGCTCCACGTGTTGGGAGAGGGGCGTTGCTTCGGCGTAATCGTCCGTCCCGTCTGGGCAAGGGCGCTCGGTGATTTTGCTTGTCGAAAGGCAACGAGGCGGCGCGGAATGCTTTCAAGTCTGTAAAGGAAAGGGGAATCCTGCTAGACTTGGCAACTTAATTCACCAAGCTGGCCTCGACAGAGCTCATTAAGTTCTCATGTATTCATTTCAGGCTAATGGCTGTCACGCTGACTGCTGTTTGATTTGCTGTAATAGACTTTTATGGCTTTCCAGTTTGCTAGGACGTGTGTGCCGGTGTCTGTTGCCCTGTGGTGCTGCTGTAGTACATTAGTTAGCTGCTCGTGTGCTTGCTACTCTGACCTTCAGGGTTGGTTCTCCTCTTGGATGCATCCCTTGCACTTCACCTCTTACCATGTGCTCTTTTTTTTCTTTTTTAAATACCCATCTTGTCCTCACCTAGCCCCAGGGTCTCTGGGAGTCTCAGGGTTTGGCTTTTAATTTACTGAGCCCACGGGCACTGTTGTGGCAATGCCTCAGTTTCTGACAAGCCCGATCTGCTTCGTCCGATCTCTTTTTCCATTTGACTGGATCTGTAGGAAACTCACTCTTGTCAGATTGTTATGGTTCAACGCTTTTACGTGAGGCGAGCGAGTGAGGTGGAACCAAGCCTTCCACACTGGTTTTGTGCTACCTGGTGTAGTGTTGGAAATTGGGGTAGGCCATTCCCCTTGGGTGCCTGCTGGGCTTTCCTGTCCCAGCATCCAAGCCTGAGACCTTCTGGGGCACGCAGCCCCCCGTTTGCCTTCGAAGCGAACATCTTTTAAACTTACAATTAAAAGATATGGCTCTGCAAGCCTCCTTTCTGCATTTGCTCCTTCTAGGTGCTGAGCCATCTGCAGGACCACATCTTGGGGTCCTGCAGAAGATTCTCAGCTGTTGAGGTATTTGCAAGTTGTGGTAACCAAGTCTAGTACTTTCTCACAAAGAGCTGTTTTCCCCCGTAATCCCCCAGCATCCTGAGCTTTGCTGTCCAAGTTCAAAGTGCCCGTGGTCTTCACTTGGCCCTGGAGCATTGATGGTCTTCATGTGTTGGCAGAAAAGTCACTTAATTGTTGTTTGGGGCTTTTTTCTTTTTTTTTTTTATTTAATCCAAATGTTCCCTCAGGAGGTTTCCAGTGGGATTTTTCTCTCCTTCAGTGCTCATCCCTCCTGTTCCGTTTAACACACTGAGCAGTTTATACAGTAATACGTAGTGTTGGGTTGCATCTTCCAGCAAAAAGCCGTCCTCAGCCAGGCTCAGGGCCGGAGCCTGTCGTTTAGCACCCCAGCCATTCAGAAAATGACAATTACACCACCAAAAAGCATCTGTATCTGGACAGAAGATGTTAATTCTGTGGGGGCTCTGTTTTCAGAAGGCATCCACCAACATCGAGAGCCCCGACCAGCTGCCTTGGGAATGCGCTCGTCTCATCTGGAGTTCAAGCACGTGCTTGTAAGAGGCGCAGAGCTGGTGAAAAGGAGTTTAAAAAGAGAAAAGGGAAGTTTCTGGGCATTGCACAGCATCGAATGGGCAACCACGCACCAGCTTGCAGGTGTCGCATCTCCCTGAACCTCAGCCCCGATTTACTGATTTATTTTAATTGGGAGGCAGGCAGGCACTTGCCATCAACAGCAGCCCCGTCTGCTCGGGGAGTAGCCTTTGGGATTGAGCCTTCACATGCTGCTGATCACTGTTTCCATCCTTAATATGGTGCTGTAGTTAAAACAGTGGCTTTCATGATTTTTTTTTATTTTTTCCCCAATTGTGCAGCAGGGAGAGGGGCAGAAAGGAGGTGGCCGTCGCTGTCCTATCCCATGACAGAGCCTGGCACCAGACAGTGCTAGGTGGCAAGCAGGGGCAGCAAGAAAGCCCTCAAAAGCCCTAGCTGTAATTAAAATTATTATTTTCCTTTAATGGTAATAATGTTGGTAATTACAGCAGTTTCCCTGCCATCCTGCCTGGGAGTCTTCAGGGGCTCGTATAATTCTATTGCGATGGCTTCGAGGCCTGACGCCGCGCATACGAAGCAGCTGCAATGGCCGTGAGCTCCCACTCCAGCCGCATTAGCCATTCCCTCGCATGCTCCCAGCTACCTTTTGGGGGTTTGTTTTCTTCCTCCCCCTCTTCCTTTAAATAAAAAGCCTTTAAATTGAAGGCGATAACAGAGCTGATAAGGAAGATGCTTCCACCACATGGCAAAATGGTCTATAATCATTGCTGGCCGCTTTCCTTCCTTGTTTCTTGGGTTATTTTCTTTTTTTCTTTTTTTTTCTTCCCCCCACTTCTTCCTACTCACTGTTTTCCTGCTCTCCCTGCCCTTACGCTTCTGCGTGGATTTTAGAACAGCATGAACGATTTACCGTGAATGACTCTACCCACCAAATCCAGCCTTCCCCATCCTCCGCCGCCTTTGCGCGCACAAAA